ACAGATAGTATCAGAAGAACTGCGAATTTCTTCTGTTATAAAGGAATTGCGCAATTACGGATACAGGAAGTTCATTGTTCTTTCTGAATGCCGTCCAAGACCGAGATGACCACATGACTGGACTTGTTTACATGAAACCTCAACATGCTGACTTCACCTTTTTACTACATTTGATTTCTAAGGGTTGCACAAGTAGATACAAGACAATGAAAATTAAAAGAGCGAGGGTTTCAAATCAATCTGCTGGACTTTCTACTTTCCACCTTGGCTTTTGACAGTTTACTGAATGCTGATAAGAGATGAATAGATTCAAGCGTAGACTCGCTGCCAGTGTGACCTATCAACCACAGTGTAAAGCAGAGGCTTTTTACTGATTTCTCAGACAAGCCTGGACATGTCATGTGTCAGTGAAAGACTAATATGTGTAGAGGTACTCATGAAGTGCATGGTCACCCGTCCTTATCTCATGAACACACATACAAAAATGCAAGCACAAGCACACTAAATTATTTAAGTATTTGCTCAGTGCACTACATCTGCGTGTGTGAGTCCCAGATTTGAATTGTGACATGGTCGAGTTTATCCTGCACAATTCAAACGCAAACTGCATGGCCGAGAAGCTTGCATTAGAAACATGAACAATGTCTAACTTTCCAAGTGCTAGTCTAGATTAAAAAAAACACATTTGCAAAAGGTGATGCAGTTCCTTCACACTAGAGAAACACATCAGCATACTGAATACAGTATACAACTGGGTGTAACTAATATAGAGATTTATTTCAATGCTCAAAAGAAAATCTGTTATTATCATGCATCCTCATACATACAATGAAACATTTTTTTGATTTTGATGAAAATGCGCTAGTGTTTTGTGTAAATTTAAAGGCAAAGGTCATTAGAATAACAGTCATTATTACTGTTATTATTAATGAATGATATTGGTGGGAAAGTGGCACTAATTGCAGACAATGAATTGAACAGAATAATAATTAAAATATGCACAGTTATGTACCGTAATTTCTTCTCCCTAAAGTTTTGGACCACAAAACCTTGAGGTACTTGCCAAGCACATATAAACACACATAAAAGACGGCAAAGCGACTGATGTTTGACAGGGAAAGAAAGCCGCAGGTGAATAAAAGAGTTATGGAGGGCTCATAAAATGCGACAGGTAAATCTTGCTTTGGGTTTATCTGACAAACATCAGCTTTTCTCACTGTAAAACTCCCGTGAAGGGACAAGCCATTTGCCTGTTTATCTGAGACTTTTGCATAAATTTACAAACCCTTAGGGTGTATGAGCTCTAGGTATCATTTAAAATTAAAATCTAGGCCACATTGACATAATGTAGAAAAACAAAGTGACAGTGGAATAAATCCATTTAAACTAATTGTATAAAATATGAAAATGCAAATTAAAGGTAATGTGTATTGTTTTTATGTGTTAAATACTTTCTTCAGTCCCAGTTTAATATGCTCTGTGTGTAAGTATCCTGACCAGCCCAACACAGCAAAAGCTCAACCAATGACGTGAGTTTGGGGCGGGGCTAACTGTTAAGATAACCAGTGGCAGACAGGGGGAGTCTTCAGGAAACCTGTTCAAAAACCAGTGTTGGTACTCAGTAAGTCATAAATTCAGTGAGCATTATAAAAGCCTCTTTGTAAATAAGCTTGCAGTAATTTGCCTGAACTTGCCATATCAGCACTTTTAGATAAACACAGACAAATACATTGTCAATTCACATTCTGAAAAGCACCCCACATAACCATATTGACTCAAAGCTAACTATTTATCCTTGCTGTTGATATACAAAACATTATACACTCACCTAAAGGATTAGGAACACCATAATAATACTGTGTTTGACCCCTTTTCACCATCAGAACTGCCATAATTCTACATGGCATTGATTCAACAAGGTGCTGAAAGCATTCTTTAGAAATGTTGGCCCATATTGATAGGATAGCATCTTGCAGTTGATGGAGATTTGAGGGATGCACATCCAGAGCAAGAAACTCCCAATCCACCACATCCCAAAGATGCTCTATTGGGTTGAGATTTCGTGACTGTGGGGGCCATTTTAGTACAGTCAACTCATTGTCATGAGTTTATTCATAATTTGAACTGATTCGAGATTTGTGACATGGTGCATTATCCTGCTGGAAGTAGCCATCAGAGGATGGGGACATGGTGGCCATAAAGGGATGGACATGGTCAGAAACAATGCTCAGGTAGGCCGTGGCATTTAAACGATGCCCAATTGGCACTAAAGGGCCTAAAGTGTGCCAAGAAAACATCCCCCACACCATTACACCACCACCACCAGCCTGCACAGTGGTAACAAGGCATGATGGATCCATGTTCTCATTCTGTTTACGCCAACTTCTGACTCTACCATCTGAATGTCTCATTAGAAATCGAGACTCATCAGACCAGGCAACATTTTTCCAGTCTTCAACTGTCCAATTTTGGTGAGCTCTTGCAAATTGTAGCCTCTTTTTCCTATTTGTAGTGGAGATGAGTGGTACCCGGTGGGGTCTTCTGCTGTTGTAGCCCATCCGCCTCAAGGTTGTGCGTGTTGTGGCTTCACAAATGCTTTGCTGCATACCTCGGTTGTAACGAGTGGTTATTTTAGTCAAAGTTGCTCTTCTATCAGCTTGAATCAGTCGGCCCATTCTCCTCTGACCTCTAGCATCAACAAGGCATTTTCGCCCACAGGACTGCCGCATACTGGATGTTTTTCCCTTTTCACACCATTCTTTGTAAACCCTAGAAATGGTTGTGCAACCATCCCACTCTCAAAATTGCTTAAATCACCTTTCTTTCCCATTCTGACATTCAGTTTGGAGTTCAGGAGATTGTCTTGACCAGGACCACACCCCTAAATGCATTGAAGCAACTGCCATGTGATTTGGTTGATTAGATAATTGCATTAATGAGAAACTGAACAGGTGTTCCAAATAATCCTTTAGGTGAGTGTATATCTCTTAAAACAAAAAGATATGTCCTTGAATGGGATGGTCCACCCAAAGATCCTTCTTCTGAAACCAAAATTTTGAGTCATTTACTTAACACTTTTCTTTTTTTTTCTCACATGAGGATGAGTAAATGATGACAGAATGTTTTATTTTTGGTTAAACTATTCACATTATGATCTAAGAAACAAAAAAAAAATGATAAGAATGAACGAATGAGCGTTCGAAAGACAACAAACGGAAAAGAAAACAACAAACAAACAGCGGGGGAAAACCGAACTAAAGACAGGATTTGAACAGACATTCTATAAACACAGCGAAAATGAAGGTTGAATAAACACTGACTGAACGCTGACCAAGAGGCCCATCTGTCTTCAACCATCCAGTGCCATAACATTCAGCCTCTGGTATGCTGAGCTGAGGGTCATGGTAGTGGTTAAAAAGACACCCGAAAATGAACATTTTGTCATCATTTACTCACCCTCAAGATGTTTTTCCTAACATGGAAGTCTTTTTTCCATATCTTCCTTTGTGTTCAACAGAAGAAACTTTGGAACAATTTGAGGGAATGATGACAAAATTCTCATTTATGGGTGAACTATCCCTTTAATCCAGTTCACAACAAAGCTTTGTAAACAACTGAATGCAAGCAAGCGGAATGACCGTTTAACCAGTGAACAGATTAAAACATGTCGGATTAAGAAACACTTCACTAGGAGAAAATAAAAAGATACGCTTTATTTTACTTTTAAACAGACCGGGCCAATTACTGTTAAAACAATCTTGTTTCACTTAGGCCTAGTTTGCTTGATGTCAAACACATCTTAACTTGCTGTATTGCATCTGAATACAATACACACTCACTCCTTTTGTAAATAGTGTGTCAGTGTGTAAATAGTGTGTTGTATATATATATATATATATATATATACATACATACAAACACACACACAAATATTTAAGTATTTTTGGCAGCATAGTGAGACCCGTTCGTTTACGACATTTGCGATGCTTCATGGGAGTCTGCATTCTCCGCAAGCTATTTTTACGCTATTTGCTCACCGCGACCGTCTGATTGGTGGAATTTTTGAACAGCATCATGGATACTGTAGTTTTTCACCACAAAATCAATTGTTAAAGGGATACTCCACTTTTTTTGGAAATAGGCTCATTTTACAACTCCCCCAGAGTTAAACAGTTGAGTTTCACCGTTTTCATTTTTAAATATTTATAAGTTATCTTTCAAGTAATCGATTTCTTTATAAAGAATTGTAAAATATGTTTTAACCTCTGGAACATGACTGTTGCGCTCTATTATAATAATTGTCCATCATTTTTGGAATAATCAAAAAGACATCAAAACTACTAAAAAAAAAAAAACATAAATATAAGTTTGGGAAGTAGGAAGTGACCAGAAAATGTGAAATTATATTTACTAAATCAACTTCATGAGATGCATTCTGGGAAGGAGTTCACACTTCACATTCCTTCACTATCTGGTCCAACTTATCTATTAATAATATATTCATTAATTAATATATAATTGATACTTTTTAAAATAATATTAAGTATTTTAGTTTCATAAAAACAGTTATACATATGCACAATTATGTATCTATAAAACATATTTAAGAACATTTAAGTTTGTTTGTTTATAGTTTAACGCCATGCCAACTACCCCAGCTATATTCATGGCGAGAAAGAGATTAAAATAGGTTTTTAAATTTAGATCTTGGATAAAAATATTAAAACTAGATCTGATCTTCTTACATAATAAAAAAATCATAAGAGTCAAATGAAAAATGAAGAATTCTAACAGTCCAACCTATCACAGTCCATCAAAATATACTTCTGTGACAATGCATTCTGGAACGAGAGGCATAAACGAGGATCTTTAAGACACTTAAGTAAAAACGTTTGACTAGGAGCGTATTTGCATGCAAAACATATGCATTAATATGACTACATGAACCAAACTGTGTCGGTCTGCACAATGCTCTCTGTAGTGATGGGATCAGAACTGACCTTTTATGTGGGACGGGGATGATGGAGGACGTGTGCGGGTGTGGTGTTTCGGGAGATGGAGGGAGCGGTCCTGGGCCTCTCACTGGGCTCTGAGCCTCAGTGTGAGTTTGGTCTTGTAGCCTGATGCCCCTCAGGATCAGGTGATGAGCAGGACAGCCGTATTTAAGGACCCCACCTGAGCTCTGTTCATCCTCTTCTCTGCCACATGCAAACTGAGAAGAAGAAGAAAAGAGGGATATACTTCTGCTTTACCAGACAGCACATGAGTCCAAAGAGACTGAGACAGGAATTCAATTCGGTTTTAGTCACATAGTATAATTTTTCCTTATTTTTATTTAAGGTGGATGTTTAGGATATTAAGGACTTAGAATCAACAAGCAGGAATTTGTTCCTCTCTCTCTTGATCTCTTGAAACAGAAAGTTGTGGAATGGGAAATGTTGAAGGGATTGTCCCCTTTTTAAATGCCAAAAGTTAATCATGATTTGCTATTGCTATTGTCAGTAACAGGTGGTGGTAATACAGACATTCTCTTTCAATTCCAAAATGTGGACAGTCCAAGATGAGTCATCAATAATTTTGGTCCATTTTCCTGGATTTTTTTTTTTTTTTTTACTTCCAACTTGACTCAAAAGCATATAAATGAATACATTACTATTATTGAAATCTAAATAATCAAGCTCTGATATAAATTAATATGCTCAAATCAATATGTAAACTAAGATCAAGTTTATTGATATTAATAAACACACAGATCTTGAAACCTTTAGAATCACAAAATGATTTTGGATTATATATCTGACTTTTTTTTTAGTTCATTGATAAAGTCAAAGAGATTGAGAATCATTGATCTATGCTAAAAGTTTATTTTTCCTCAAAGCTGAAAACCATTGACCAAAAGCAACCTCAATATTGAATATACTTTATCTAAAGTCTAGGGCCAAGATTAAATCTGAATTTATGAAGCATCCTGTCAATTGACAAGATGATTTTTTGCAGTCGTGAATTTGTTGCATTACAGGCAGAGTTGCATTGCCTGCACAGATCATATCGGCCGCGACTCACGAGCACGTTCATCAGAGCAGATATATTATACTACGACGCGTCATCGTAAAAGGGGGCGTGTCTCGACCTCCTACACTTCACTGACTGGAGGAAATTAAAAGCCGTTCTAAAGAGAACGGTCATATGTTCGAAGGAACTAAACGACGCATTGCACTACTTCATCCAATAATCCATAAGCAAAGCATAAACCGTGACTACAACAATAAAGTAACTTTCTTTTCCTAAAACACAACGTAAGTTGCATATAAAAATTTGTTTTTTCGATCACAAATATCCTAGAAAGTCACCGTGCGACGTTCAGAGGAAAAAACAAACGTTGTTCCTGTAAAAACAAACCCTTCCACCGGCTTCAGCTAGCGTTAGATACACAATGGGGGAGGGGTGAATCAGTTAAATTTACCAACCCAACCCCCTGGCCTTTTTTTTTTTTTTTTTCGTTTAAACTTTGAACATGCAAGTTAAGTCGCCATCTTAAACCGTGCAAAAACAGTTAACGCCTCGCGATATTAACATCGACGACAGCGATGAAGTTCGATTGCAGTTACTTCACAAGCAAATTCTCCATGCAAATTTGATTTTAAAGCGAAAAGCAGAGCTGCCATCGTAAAACGCTGTCGACAGTCGTTTCGACTTGTTTATAAATGCAACAAATAAGTGTACGTATGCACAACTTGAGTAAGCATCACTTACTTTCTTATGAATGTAGTGCGTCTCTCTCGTTGAGGTAAAGTAATGTCCATTTGGAGAGATTTCCTTGCCAAAATTCCTGAAAGCACCTTCATGCAGCGCTTTCCCGGTGACAGGCTCGAGAAGCCGTTTGGAAGTCATTTTAAACCTGGATCAAATGTGACTTCACAAGATCACCAGCTTTCTGTAGACTTTGGTGCTGAGTGGGATAAGATGCATTTAACAGTATTGTGTGGACTACGACTCACTGTCGAGAGTGTATGTCACTACGGACCCTAAAAGCAGCCGGTAAAAGGGGATAAAAATGATTGTTTTGCTTTTCTCTCGCCGAACCAGACGCCACGCCCACTCTATCCTGCGCGTGCATCCAGGCGAGATTCGCTCGGCCACTCCCCTCATTGATTCTGATTGGCTCTCGACATACATAAACATTCTATTTAGGCACGCGGCCATCGCAGAGCTGCAGCTGATTGGTCGTCCGGCAAACGTCGGCGTGAATATTTTCGAGCGTTGAGGGGGTGTGTCGATGATGGTTTGCCGGCCGGTGCAGACAGTGAGGAAGAGGAAAAAAGCCCCGGTAAAAATTGACGCACTTTTAAAACGAATTGTTTCTCGGTTTGAATGTCGATTTGCGGCGATACAAATAGTGAAAATATTCACTCTTCTAACGTAAAACAATTCAAACATGACTGGGAAATACTTTTAAATAGTATCCGCGCTATTCTTTGACAAAACACACACACACACACACACACACCTCAATTTCAAACCAGCCTAAACTGGTTTGTTGGTTTTAGTTGGCCTATGAGGCTGTGTTTAGAAGCGTTTTGGGCCCATCTTTAAACCAGCTAAGCCAACCAGTCTAACATTTTTTTCAGCATTGTCTTCAAAACCACCACTGTGCAGCTCTCACTCGAAATGGATAATATGTCAGTCTTACACTATGGTCTTACACGATGGTGCACATTTTATGAACCTTAGTTTGTTACTATAAATTTATGTATTCGTGCAATATACTTGTGTGCACCTTGTGTCAAAACAATGGCACTGACTTGTTTTAAGATATGTCAGTGCAAGCTGCTTTCAGTTAAAGGGATAATTCACCCAAAAATGAACATTATGTCATTAATTACTCACCCTCATGTCATTCCAAACCCATAAAACTTTTTGATTAAATCAGAGAGACACCTACACAACTACCACTTTGATGCTTCAAGCTGGTTTAAAAATAAAATTTATGGTTTATGTTTGTTAATCAATGTTTAAATGTGAATCTAAGCCTAAATTAAATCTGTTCATCATATAAAGCGATTAAGTCTCTTCAAAAAAATTGGACTAAACCATTCAATTCATATGGATTAGTTCATATGAAGTGTCAGTTGCGTAGCTAGCTGCCAATGGAGGGACAGAAATGACTCAGATTTCATCAAAAAGATCTTCATTTGAGTTCTGAAAATGAACAAAAGTCTGACAGGGTTTGGTACGACATGAGGATGAGTAATTAATGATAGAATTTTCATTTTAGGGTGAACTATCACTTTAAAACAGCTCAAACATGCAATTTAGTCTGGGACTAGTCTTAAAGGTGTATTTCATTTTTGAAAACTGAAACTGTCATTTGGACCTTGAACCGTTTGGTTCCCATTGAAGTCCATTATATGGAGAAAAATCCTGAAGTGTTTTCATCAAAAACCTTAAAGGGTTAGTTCACCCAAAAATGAAAATTCTGTCAGTATTCACTCTCCCTCATGTTGTTCCAACCCCGTAAGACCTTCGTTCATCTTCGGAACACAAATTAAGATATTTAGGATATTAAAATCGCTCCTGCATACAGTCCATAGGCTTCTTGAGGGACTGGCTCTTGCTGTCCCCTAAAAGTCATAAAAGACATCGTTAAAATAGTCCAAGTGACTACAGGGGCTCAATCTTAAGTTTATCAAACGACGAGAACACTTTTGTGCGCAAAAAAACAACAAAAATAACGACTTTATTTCAACTATTCACTTCCTTCTCCATAAGCCTATAGTCCGTTAACGTAGTGTGATTGCGTAGAGCTACGTCACACGTAGGCTCACTATTGGTCGACGCTGGTCATGTGTGTGTGATGCGTGTGAGGTACAATAACAGAAGCTTACGCTATTAAACTAGTAACCTGACTCGCGCAGAGGGAGAAATAAACGAATAGTTGAAATAAAGTCGTTATTTTTGTTGTTTTTTTGCGCACAAAAGTGTTCTCGTCGTTTGATAAACTTAAGATTGAGCCCCTGTAGTCACTTGGACTATTTTAACGATGTCTTCAATTACTTTTCGAGGACAGCAAGAGCCAGTCCCTCAAGAAGCCTATGGACTGTATGCAGGAGCGATTTTAATATCTTAAATATCTTAATTCGTTTTCCGAAGATGAACGAAGGTCTTACGGGGTTGGAACAACATGAGGGTGAGTAAATACTGACAGAATTTTCATTTTTGGGTGAACTAACCCTTTAATTTCTTTTCGACTGAAGAAAGAATGACATGGACATCTTGGATGACATGGGGGTGGGTAAATTATCAGCAAAAGTTTTTTGAAAAGTGAACTAGTCCTTTAAACCTTGTCTGTGAAACCCTGGGAATATGTTCTCCCACCTTATAAACCCAAAACCTGATTTTCAAAAGCTCATTCTCTAAAGATACACACATGCTATATTACAGTGGAATAGTCGGCACACAACCAGTCATAAGGTGCAACTTTATTAAAAAAGTAAAAACAAATATTTATATGAATGATTTTTTTTGTTATAGAAAACATTACAATCTTTTGCACAGAATATTACTAAACAGATTTTTTTTTTTTTTATACACCATACTCTGTGTTACACTTTGGTGGGACCACACATCAACTCAGTTAAGCCAAGGACATATGCTGGGGAAGCAGTGTTACTATGTACACACTTCACAACATACAACCTAAACAGCAGAAGTAGAAAACTTTCATTGCTTTTAAACACATCAATGCCAGAGCTTTTCTTTTCGTAATATAGTTATGTTGCATTGCTGTATGCTCTATATACATGCGATTTGGTCTGTTTCAGTACGGTGGAATGTCCTTTTTTGTTGATCGGGTGAACGAGAAGCATCACGTCTACGTATGCATGATTTTTTATAGATATTTTATTTACACACTTGTCAATAAATATCATACTTCAGGCATGTCATTTCTCAGCCCCTTTAAAGAACAAACATGATTGAGAAACCAGTAAACCCTTGTGCAATCTGTACAAATCACACCCTTGTTTTCCACAAAAAACAATGGACGATGGCTTCTCGCAGACTCTCTCAGAACATCAACAGATTCACAAGTGGGAGGAACTGCCAAGCCAAAGCTAAAGTGGAGCACACTTCCTCCCTTAAAATGGCAAGTCTCAAGGACACATGCTAATAACAGCAGGGAGGGCCTACAGCGCCGTGAGGCCAGATCCCCACTGTTTTGGACGAGTCCTGGACCAGATATGTGCTTTGTGCTCCCTGAGACGATCCATGACCTCTCAGCAGCCTGTTGTGTCTCCTCTTCCCGTTTGGTGACCGGTTTTCCATTTTTTCGGTGTGTTTTTTGGCACTGTCTCATAGTGTGAGGCACGGGTATGAATTATACATTATGTTTGATGCACCAGAGAGGATCAAGAAAAGAAAAACGAGAGCTTTTGTTTACAGAAGCATGCATTGCAAGCAAGGAAATAGTCGCAGCCTACTTGAACGGAACAGTGGGACACGTGAATGGCAGTGATAGTAGCTTTTTGAACAAGTTGCTACAAGTGGAGTTAACCAATACAATTTTATAAGAAAATAGAGTGCCATAAAAATCTTTCATCTGAGTATATATTAAAACGGACATGACAAACCCAACGTTTCTCACCGGAGGTTGCGTGTGACATGAGTGACGACGGCGTCTTGGTTATTTATCCATAATGAACTCTTATCTATCCATCCCTGAGCTGATAATTTGAATCCCCAAATCCCTTTCCTCAGGGCCTTTCCTGTAGCCCTCCAACAGACTTTAATGATCTGTATATGCAGTGTAGTAAAATCACCAACCATGCATTCGAGTTGTTTTATTTCATGCTGATGGGCCTTGGGAGTCTTCGGGGATCATCTCAAATGGTTGCTCCATTGTGCTATTATTTTCCCCGATCCTAATCCAAGCTCCCATAATGCATGTGGGAAAGGCATTGTTTACAATAGGATCAAGTCGCACAGACAGCCCAGAATATGAGATGTCCTTCCAAAAGACATTTACTAGCAACCATAAGCCTTGTGCTGTGTTTTCCTTGGACACTGTCTCCATGAAATGCTGCTGGCGGATAAGCCGGTCGGAGGCCCAGTGAGCCGGGGAGCAGCGCTGGCTCACGCTGACCTGAGAGCGGTGGATAGAGAGAGCGGCCCCGGCCAAACTAGAAGCCTTTATTGCCCTCGGTATACTCTCGCACCGCAATGTTCCAGCACACTGACGCTACAAGCCTCATAAACGGCCATGTTAACAATGGCCATTGAAAATGACATGTTAACTAGCTAGGCTGAGGCATCCCGAGAAAATCTTGATTCGCTTTTTTCTCTCCTTTCCATTCTGTTAATACTGGAAAAAGAAAATCAATTCTTGCGAGAAACGAGTGGCATGTCACTAAAACTACCTGACATCCAAATATTGAGCAGAAGTGGCATGCTATAGACAAAATAACAAAAAATAAATAAATAAAGAAATTGAAGAGCTAATGCACTTTGCACAGTCATAAAGTGAACTTTAAGAAGGCCCACACGGAATCTGCACCCGCAAAACTCCACGGAAAGCTCTGCAAAAGTGTTTGTATATCAAGTATTTTGGAGTTTTTTCAATTGTATGTATGCTGTATATATATATATATATATATATATATATATATAGTATATGCACACTACCATTCAAAAGTTTGGGGTCAGTAAAGAAATTAACATGGTGGTTAATGATAGTAAAGACATTAATAATGTTACAAAAGATTTCTATTTTAAATAAATGCTGTTCTTTTAAATTTTACATTAATCAAAGAAGCCTTTAAAATAAACTTATGTCCACAAAAATTAAGGACTCCTGAAAATTCTGTACGGTCATCACAGAAAACATTACATTATAAAATATATTAAAATAGAAAAGAGTTATTTTACATTGTTATAATAGTATTACGTTTTTTACTGTAATTTTGTTCAAATGCTTGGTGAGCATAAGTATGGAAGCTTGTTTCTGCCACTGAATAAAAAAATAAAGGAAATAATTGTGACTTTTTATCTCACAATTCTGACTTTTTTTCTCACAATTGCGAGTTGTTCTCTCAATTCTGACTTTATTTCTCAGAATTACGAGATAAAAAGTCAGAATTGATTGATATAAAGTCGCAATTGCGAGTTATAAAGTCAGAATTGCGAGATATAAACTAAAGTTAGAATTGTGTGATATAAAGTCGCAATTCTGAGAAAAAAAGACAGTAGTGCGAATTTTTATCTCACAATTCTGACTTTTTTTCTCACAATTGCGAGTTTACATCTCGTAATTCTGACTTTATATCACATAGCCTAATTGCAAGTTTATGTCGAAATTCTGAAATTCTTTCCTCAGAATTGTGAGATATAAACTCGCAATTGAGACTTATCAGGCCAAAAGACTAACTTTTTTCCCCCTCAGAATAGTTTAAATCTCACAATTCTGACTTTACAACTCGCAATTCTGGCTTTATAACAAGCTATTGCGACTTTATATCACACAATTCTGACTTTATATCTCGCAATTCTGACTTTATATCACACAATTCTGACTTTATATCTCGCAATTCTGACTTTATATCTCGCAATTCTGACTTTATATCTCACAATTGTGGCTTTATATCTCACAATTCTGACTTTATATCACGCAATTCTGACTTTATATCACATAATTCTGACTTTATATCTCACAATTCTGACTTTATATCACGCAATTCTGACTTTATATCACATAATTCTGACTTTATATCACACAATTCTGACTTTATATCTCGCAATTCTGACTTTATATCACGCAATTCTGACTTTATAACACGCAATTCTGACTTTATATCTCACAATTCTGACTATATCTCGCAATTCTGACTTTTAACACGCAATTCTGACTTTATATCTCACAATTCTGACTTTATATCTCGCAATTGCTACTTTATATCACGCAATTCTGATTTTATATCTCGCAATTGCGACTTTATATCACTCAATTCTGACTTTACATCTTGCAATTTTAACTTTATATCTCGCAATTGCGACATTATATCACACAATTCTGACTTTATATCTCGCAATTCTGACTTTATATCTCGCAATTCTGAGAAAAAAAGTCAGAATTGCGAGAAGTAAACTCGCAATTGTGAGAAAAAAGTCAGAATTGTGAGATAAAGTCGCAATTACCTTTTATATTTTTCATTCTATGGCGGAAACAAGCTTCCATACACAAGAGACTTCTTTGAAAACCATAAAAGAAACGTACAGAAACCAAACTTTAGAATGCTGGTGTATGTAAAAAATATAAAGATGTGTGAAGTCCGCACACGGAAAAGGTACTGCTGCAAAAATGTATTAAAAAATCAAAGTTTCGACCCTCAGGTCATCATCAGGCATTTTTTAATACATTTTTGGAGCAGTACCTTTTCAGTGTGCGGACTTCACACTTCTTTATTTTTGTTTACTTCATTCAGTTGTCCTACACCTGAGCCCAATTTGGGTGTTTGGGATGTGCACACCAATTTTGTATATTTTTTGTATGTAAAAAATATAACATATGTATTTTATTGTAAAGTAATAATAGTTGTATGTAATGCATTCAGTTAACCAGGTAGCTTTGTTAAACTCATTTTAAACACAATTGTGCAGATTCTTCTCCAAGATCAGTGCAAAAACATCTGCAGATTCCGCCTGAGCCTGACTGTAAGTTACGTGCGTACTGAAAAATGACCACACATACTGTATGTACACCACCTAAACTGTCCCTTCGCATACATATTGTTTAGGGTGGGAAAAAAGGAGAAGTTAACTCGGTATTCTGTTTCAGCTAAACTAACACTGTGGTGGTGGCCGGCAGTCTCCAGCTGAGAGAACCAGTCAGGTGTGTTTTCAGAGCGAAGGGGGGTTAAGCTGACGTCTCATGTGATCCCTGTTTTAATCTACAGGTAGAGCTCACACGGCAGCGCGACAGTGTGTACATCCTGTTTGATTTAATCACATCCAGAGTCTCTCGTGCTAACTCATAGTCATATTGATTTTAACCCTGCAGCAAAGTGCCATTACACTGCAAAAAGAATATTTTTGTTACTCATTAATTTATTACTTGTTTTTCAGTATAAACAAGATACATTTTCTTGAGAAGCAAAATTACTTAAGATATCATGGGCCATCTTTACTAAACATCGGTGCGTTTCTGTTTCCCGAAAGTGACGATTGACGCAAGCTCCGTCGTTATAACTTATCAGCTTTGTTCAACGAGTCGTTTTTCCCTCAATGTGTTTCCCGATAACATAGTTCCGACGAACACTCGCAAATAGCGTTAATAACTTAATAAATAATCTTAAGCAAAATAAGCAAGCTGACATTCAGTACTATCTATATCTTTTCTTTCAAAATGTCATTTACGTCTTTTAGTTCGTCATAAAGCAAAAACGTTTGAATAGATACTTTTCGATTGAAATTCATTAAATGAGGATATTACTCCACCACCTGCATGACATCATTAAGCAACGTGGTTACCATAGTACATTGCAACAATACAGTTTTAAAAAATATTGACAAATTGTCAACTATACGTTTTCGGGTAACAGTCGTGACTAGCTAGTTGATTTTTCCAACGATGCAATGTACTATGGTAGTTAAGCATGTTGTTGAATGGGAAACACACCCCAGGGCAATTTAGCGTGAGAGCAGAATACCATAAAATCGCAGACGGGAGTGGAAATTTCTGCAGATCAAAACCATACTGACAATGTTCAAACTAAAGAACACAGACGAAGCAGTGCATTTCCATTATGACCAGCGCAATCAACAGTTTACATCCACCAGTTGCAGTGCCCTTGATTACCACCAGAGGACATTCCCTAGTCCTTTGCCACTCCATCATGAACTACATTTCCCATAAACCTTTGCCCGGACGCATTATGTTCTGATTACTGCCACCTGTTTCCCATTACCTTTGTTAACTCTCTTTCTATATAAGCCCTGTTTATACAGTCACTCGTTGCGAAGTCTAGTATGTGTCACACTGCTTTTTTTTTGGTGTGTGTCATGTTATGGTTTTGATTCTCATATCTGTTCTTGGATCTGTTTGCTTGTGTTCCTGTGCCCGAGAGGAGAAAATTCTCCCACTTTTACCACGCCAAAATGGGTTGAGACATGCTTTTTTTTGGACGTTAAAAAATGGCGCATAAACCGGAGAGTTGACTATTTCTCAATTCTGAGTAAATCACAGTACATTGTTCATTCAAAAACTCTCCTCTCATTAATGTTGTTTCAGAAAGGGAAAACTTAATAACTGTCCAAGCTTTTTTTATAGCTAATTTTACACTGAAATCCTGATAGAATAGGGTTTAGGCTGGCACAAGTTGTTACTAAATCTGGCCATAAAAAAAATCTTGAAACTAAGTGAGATTATACTTAGAAAATGAAACAATATCTGTCAATGGGATAAGAGAGTAAACACGTTTATTTAAGAGAAATAAACTTCACGAGTTCCTTCTCCCATTTTATCTAATAAGCTAATAAGGTTAAGCGTATTTGGCTTTCTGTCCTCAATGGAGGGGCTCGAGGAAGCAGCTTCAACTCAAACTTACTGTAGCTATACCCCCCAGTGGGACTACTAATGCTTGGATGAGGAGTATGGTAGCAAGATGCCTAAATTATATTGGTGGAGTTGGGGAGGTGGAGGGATGCCAGAGCAAAGTGAGCGACTGCTTGTATGCTTTTAATTGGAAGATTAGATTGGGTCACTCCTCCCGAAATTACTTTGTGAACTTTCATCATTTTTTGTTTCAAGAATAAAGTCACTATAAAGTTTCCAGAAAACAAGACTTTATATAATGTCATTTTGCTTCTCAAATAAATGTTTCATGATTTAAGAATGTTTAGGTATTTCCCTGAAAAACAAGGGGGAAATCATTCTTTTGCAGTGTAGCGACTGCTGTAGCATGGCGGAAAACCCGGTTTAGATCCCTGGATTCGGTGAGCATGCCTGCTTCAGCCAATTCAGTGTTTTTTTGGTCTGCGTGAATGTTGCTCTCCAATAAATATACATTGGTCATCTGGTTATGTACTGTAGGTTTGCATGTGTTTGGCAGCTGTAAGCTGTGTGTATCTTTTGATTAGTCACAACAGGAGGGCTGCAGTTTGTTCTTCCCCCCTCTGTAGGTGTTTCATTTGACGGTTTAAGTCAGGCTGTTTTTGTTTATAGCCCCGTAACGTACATTTCCATGCCGTCGTTAAAGGTAAAGATAGTGGTGGTGCTCGCTGCGTTTGCTCCCTGCTTCACATCGCCGATTGTCTCGTAAAAGTTCTCACAGGTCATGGCTCTGCCCGGACCCTGGGCGGGCTTCTTTTTGGGCTTCAGCGTGTTGCTGGCCAGCTTCTCCCTTTTCCGGTGGGAATCAATGGTGGCGTAAGCCGGGTCCGACTCCACCGCCAGGCCCCGGGGCCACGTCTTCTCGCCCACAGGTTCGTAGCAGGGCTCCTCCTGGGGGCCGGTCCTCCCCCACGCCTCTTCCCCAGTGCCTCCGGGAGCGGGCCAGCCTGCGGCACCCCTGTCCTCCTCCTGGGGCGCAGCAGAGGCCGTCGGCTTGCTCTCCTCCTGGCTCTGGCCTTGCTGGTGTCTCCTCTTCAGGGTCTTACAAACGGTAGAGTACATGTCAGAGATCTGAGGACAGAGAGAGAGAGAGAACCGCAGAATGAGAAACACTCAGGAGTGTGCAAAAGATCATCTGTGCCAAAGTGGATTTCGTAACAACAGTCCTGTGGAACGGATTCTCAAGTTACAGTTAGAGTGCTGAAAAACATGAAGCGCGCCGATTTCAGAGCGCAAATTTGCAAGTGATTACTACTCAATGCTGGGTTATTTTAACCCAATTTTGGGTCAAATATGGACAAACCCGGTCATTGGGTTTACATCTTTAAATTACATTTTTAACCCAATGGTTGAGTTTGTCCATATTTGACCCAAAATTTAGTTAAAACAACCCAGCATTTTATTAGAATAAAGTGGAATATATAAGGAGATGTTTGTTCCTCTCCAGCAGTTTAACTCTATGGGATTTTTATCTGTTTGTCTTTTTTCAGGTGAAAATGTATCATTTAGGCTATGTTCACACAATCCTTGGTGCTCAATTCCGATTTATTGCTCAAATATGATTTTTTTTTTAATAACAGCTCACATTGTTGTCAGATTCCAGTGTGAACAGATCATAGACTGTAAAAAAATTTGGACGTAGTGTCCGTGATGTCACCGGTAGAAGAGCATTTTTGAAGCCCAAAGTGGGCGGGGCCGACCGTCGCCATCTTGGGAGGGTGTCACTCCCAGATAACCGAAAATGGGCAAAGAGGCAGAATTAGCTGAGGTGACGGCTAACAGACAGCAGACAAACTACTAGTAGTGACATCAGCGGCAATCCACTTGTCACTCAAGTGGCTACGCCCTTAATAGGTGGTTTGCAGTCACGTGATTGTGTTGACGCACGGAATGCAGATGGAGGGCAAGGAGTGAAGAGCACAATGGACGAGATGGAGGAAAATCCATACTGTACTACTTTAGACGCTATTACAAGAGAAATATATAAACAGAAAATCGAAACATATGTTGGACGTGATCCTTACGTTATGAAGAGGACCGATTTTCAACTGAATTGAGAGATTTGCCTGCCATCGAGGCTGAAGATATCAGCAACTAACTCGTCTTACAGACATACTTTGACTTTACAAAGTTCGGAAACTGGTACGTTACACAAACAGCCACATAAGTGCATTTAAACACCTGAATAATGTAATTATAAGCCACATAAATAATGTATTAACTCACATTTGACGAAGTGATCACTGCACACACACACACACAGGCATTTTCCCATTCGGCTCCTCCCGACCGCAGACGTAGGTTTGCAAGGCATTTCCCCCGGTGTTTTTCTGTCAATTTCTTGTATTTCCCCCCTTATGAACAACAACTTTTGGCACACGATAAAAACTCCTCGTGGTTTAAACGATTTGAGCAACCATAAACGACGCAAAACATAGGCATTTTGAGTGTGTTGTAGTGCTTCCTAAATATAGAAAATCACTTCCTGCCCTCCATCTGCATTTCGCGCCATGGCAACGCAGTGGCGTGACGTCACATGAAAACAAGCTATTATGCAGAACTTCAAGGCTTTATATCATTTAAATGGATGAGTTATAAAAAAAATGTCAAACAGTTTTAATGAAGGGCAACATTAGTTATATATAGACCAAAACCACTTTTGTACCAGGCTGTGAACACTTTTTTTTTTTGCTGTAAAGTTGGGCATATTAACATGGGGGTCTATGGGATTGACTCTCTTTTGGAGCCTGTCTCTAGTGGCACGAAAATGAATTGCAGTTTAAGTCACTTCTGCCGTGTTGGATTCAAGAGAGAGACAGGAAGATTGTCGCTTGGAACAGATCATTGTCCTGAACTGACCCGCATGCGCTAAAGAATGATAAAAAGACGTCACGCAGCACGTTGTCATATTGAAATAAACAATTAAGTATGATTACACATTTATTTAGAAGGCAGCAGATTTATGACCAGGCAATATACAAGACAAAGAAGATGTAAAAGAAGAGAGCAGACATTTTAAACATTTATCATATGAGTCCTCATGATTTGCTTGTATATAGAGCTGTCACTGTAATACTTATGAGCTCGGACACATCACTGTCCTTCACTGACTACCTTTCGCAACTGTTTTGATAACATCAGGTATGTAAAATCTGACTCCTATGAACACAGAATTGTGTGGAATTTGCCACATATGGAAGTGGCACAAATCAGATTTGAGTTTTGAGTAGTCATGAGAAAAACAGATCTGATGCTCATGTGAGCAAAAAATATCAGATTTGGGCCACGTGTAACCTTAGAATATTATCTAATATCACGATTTGAGGTCTCATTCATGAGCGTAGCACAAATGCTACAGGACAAGTCCCACGTCAAAGTTGATCAGATTTAGGTTTGATCAATAGTAGCAGTGACAATTGCTTTATAGCAAACTAAAAGTAAAAGACAACAGGACAGAGAAGAGTTAACACAACCTATCCACAAGTTTCCTACGCCCCATGAGGCCTTGCGTCAAAAGTGGGCGCGTCTTCCAGTTCGAAGTAAACAAAGCGCGACTTGACATGCTTGACACTCGTTCATTTAACAGTTGACAGTCATTCAAGTTATAGAGATCCAAACTAGCTAACGATGTGGGAACACAACATCAACGAAATTCAAAAGGGTGAAATAACAGTACCTTTACCCTCCGCAGTAGTTGATTGGGAGTATTATAATAACATTATTAATAATCAATACTCATCAAGGCATGGTGACAGACAGTTGTGTATGCTGACAAACAATTAAAATAAAAAATACACACTCAGTCATTGTGCTTTGGAGTTTATTCAAAATTATAAATGGATGTGCTACTTGAATACATTAACTGGCACATTTGGTATTCCGTCAACACAGGCTTTGATCCTGAGTTTAGGTGTAACATCAGTAGCGAACAGCCAATCACATGCTGATAGAGTTTATAGAATATTAAGAATTTAAACAAATGTACACATGAAGATTCGTCGTCTTTTGGGAGGTGATGGAAACTACAGTCGTTAGCAGGATCACTATGATTTCGTTTTCAACTTATGTTCAAAACAATCCCGTTTAAGCCACTAAATTAGTTTAGTCCGGTTATATACAACCGCGAACAGCACATGTTGTCCCTGAGCTCCGTAACGACATCTCTCATAAAGATTTGCGTCTTTAAATAGTAAAACAATTCTCCGAAAAACAGCTAGCCTCTTCGCTAACTAACACACAAAATACCATTGGTATGCTACTTCCGCCACCTCACCGGAAGTTTCACCCACTTTATTTTTTACAGGAGCGCCCCTCGCAAACTTGTGGATAATATGCCTGGCTGAAGATGTGTATCATGTACATAAACGCCCACAGCGGTGAGTGTTTGACGGAGGCATGCGTGGTAACAGGACTCTGCTTGCACACAGCAGAAACATGACCCACTTTGGCCCGTGATCGTCAGAGCCAGTGTAAACGCTCTTATCTGGCTGCGCAGAGCAGAAGTGTTACCTAACCCGCAGATAAGCCTGTTAAACTTTCACCACAGCAGCCCACCGAAACGGCTTTAACACCGCTAACCAGACAGGAGGTAAACGGGTGAGAAGATGTCCATGTGTGTATGTGTGTGTGTGTGTGCGCACGCTCTGCTAACCTCACATAACCTCTCTCTGCTATGGCATTTAGCACTCCCAGCTCAATGGCATGTATAAAATCCCAGTCACATAGTGACCTTTATGGCATTTGTGTGTAAAGACTGAGGAGATGTTATGGCATGAATAGAGCTGTGAGTTTGTCAACAACACTACAGCGTTCGGCATTTTAGCCTGTAGGCCTACTGTACGGCATGCGTCTGAACGCAGGCATGACTGAACCAGCCGATTTCTGGAAAACCGCTGAGTTCGATGTTGTTCCAGACTCCCAGTGTGTTTGTGTGTGATTGCGCCACACTGATCTCTTCTCCTCCGTGTCGAGCATTGTTTACCGTGCTGTGCAGCGCTTTGCAGAGCGAGAGGAAATCACAATGACGGGGGTTTCAAAACTCTCTGCAGCTGTTGAGAAAGCCTTGAGAGGTTTTTCCTCTTCCTCTTGCTCGCTCACTCTCTTTCTTTCCCCTTCATATTGCTTCAGTTCATTCCCTTGCATTTTCACCCCCCTCCCCCTCTCAAACACACACTATTTTCTCTTCTTGCAAATGCAGTCTTCAGCGGCTCAGTTGTATGTCTTGTGTGTGTGCGTACACACGTTCTCATTGGTGTGTTTGCACTTGACACAAAAGCACAGTGGAACAACAGCTCAGAGATTTCATATGAAGTAGCATAGGAGTGATATTATCAACCTAATACTTCATAAACCTATTATTTTTTCTATTTAAAACTGATCTTTTAAAGGGGGGATGAACTGAGAAATCAAATTTTCCTTGAGCTTTTGACATCTTAGAGGTCATCCTATTATAAGAATATCCTGTAAGTTTCAGAACTGAAAACGTCCTTGTTAGTCCAATAAAAGCTTTTATTGACACCAGCCTCAGCAAACAACTCGTTTTTCAAAGTGGGGAACTATGACGTCAAAGAGGATAAAACACCACCCCCGCAGAAGAAGATCAACGCCTACTTCAACACGGCCGGTTTAGCCCCGCCCACCGAGTCGGGCATTACACGCATAGCTAAATAACATAGATGCCTACCTCTTGATGACAAACCGGATCGAGCTACCGAGCAATACTGGTTGTGGAAGAAGACAGTCGCTGCATAAGCTTCCTCTGGATTCCAATAGGACTGCATGGTTAAACTTTATTTTTAATGACGTTCCAGCTGATGAGGATAAAACATTGTCCGTCTGTTCGCTTCATTTCACTGAGGATTGTTTTGTAAACAAGACTGGATTTGCAGACCGATTAAGAGTAAAGAACGGAGCTGTGCCGTCTATATTGGATCTGACAGTAATGGTGCAACACACGGACTCTAGGTCGAACATGTATGGGCGAATCCTTCCGGTTGCCATTTTACAACATTGGACGTTTTCAAAACAATTTCCCGCAAGTGCATCGACTGGTGAGTTGAAACTCATTATTATATGCAAAACTGTTATCCACTCACAGCAGTGGGCGTTTACTTCCAAGTCTTCAGTGCGAAACGCCCATAAAAACTGAGCGTTATTCAGCTAGGCTCAAAACTAGGGTACAAAGTAACCTATTACTTATTCATTTTGATGTTTTTGAATGCAAAAACCAAGCGAACGTCATAAGTTGACCTCAGACAACAATTTAATAAAATTTAAAAAGTCAGTTCATGACCCCTTTCAAAGAGAATATCAAAAATGATATGATCAATAAGTTGTGACAACATGTTTTTACATTATCAAAATAAGTTGAGAAAAATAAGTTGATTCACCTCATTTAAGTCAGATTAAGTTGAAATTACTTAAACGTCCAAATAATTTTATATAATAATCATAATACAACCCGCAGAGAAACTGGTTTGCCAGTGTTCCTTTTATTATTTTCCTTGGTTGTTAATCATAGTTTTACGCACCTATTTGTGTTTAGTTGATTAGTCTCCCTTTGTAACCCCTCACACCCGGGTCCAACCTGGAAACCCGGGTCTCCGGCATGAGAGTCAGGCGCGCTAACAAGGAGGCTAAAGACTGCAGCCTCTAGTGACTGTCGCTAGAGCGCCTATTGAGATCGGGGAGTGAGGTTTACTCGCACAGCAACTACTAGCTGGCCTCCGTTACACTCACCCCCCTAAACCTCACTCTTACCCGGGTCACGGCACCAATGTAACGGTGGTCAGGCAGTGAATGGACTGAGACCAGAACTGACTTTTCTCACATTTATTCCTTTGGAGAATCTTTGGGAAAATGAGAACAAAACATGCCTTCAGGCACTGGTGTACATTTAACAGCATCCGATGTAAAGCATCCCGCTTCTAATCGGGTAATGGCAATAACACAAGGACAAAACCCGGCAGAGCTGCAGTACACCATTTATCCAAAGGAGGGCTCCAAAACACCAAACACATTACAGCCGCTTAATTATGGTGAAAATCACATACAAAATACTAACTGACATTTCGAACTCTGTTACACCTTGTATTTGCCCTCAGTTTCCTTTGCTTCATTGTCCAGTATAGCTTATGTTAAGCGTTGTTATTCCTGAAGTCTCTAATGTTCAACAAGGCTGCATTTATTTTAATCAAAAATACAGTAAAACTGTAATACAGTAATATGGTGAAATAGTATTACAATTTACAATACATGTTTTCTATTTGAACATTTTTTAAAATGTAATTTATTTCTGTAACGACAAAGCTAAATTTTCAGCATAATTACTCCAGTCTTCAGTGTCACATGATCCTTTGATTCTTTGATAAATAGAAAGTGGATCATAACAGCATTTATTTGAAACAGAAATATGTTGTACCGTCATAAAAGTTTTTACGGTCACTTTTAATCAAATGAATGTGCCCTTGCTGAATACAGTGCTTCCTTGTTTTGTTTTGTACAGTGTGTCATTTTTTTTTAATCTAAAATCATGAAAGGATCACAGGTGTTATTTGTTCAGGATAATGTGTTAAGTGAAGTGGGCCGCCTACACACTCACTCACACACCCACCTCGTGACATGAATCTGGGCGTGTCTGGACAAGAGAAGGCATGAGCAGAGAAGAGCGTTGAGAAGTGTATTCAGCTTAACGGTTACAACAGTCAACTCTTCTATCTGAGCCAAAGGAGTTCAGTGTACTGTTACACTACTAATGAACAGAACATGAATAGAATGAGATTAAAAAGTTCATTTAATACCACCCGAGCCACAAATTCTAGAAGTTATAAGAACAAAAGTTCAACGTTTCACTGAATTGTGGCATGATCAATGCAAAATATAATAATAATTTAGAGACTTGTATTTTGAATTAAGATAATAGGCCTAACTATTTTTCTTGTATCAAGCATAAATAGAACTTCATTTAAATAACTTTATACTTAAAGCTACACTGTGTAACTCTTTTAGTTTATTCTTAGCTAAAAACACTTAGTTCTTTCAAAAATATATGTGCTCATTAATGTATATTTACTTTGTTCAAGTAATAAAGTATTCTCGAGAGTGTATAATATGCCATTGAAAATACATACGGGTAAGGGGTTCTAATGTCGGTCGCCATGTTGCCCCTCCATCTTGAAAGTACATTAGCCAAAGAGGGACATACCCGTTAATTCAAGCTTCGCCTTTCGCGTTTACGTTTGAGTTAACACTCATGGACGAGGTCGAACTGGAAGCCATGTTAATCTTGGACTACATTGGCCACTGTAGGAGTTAAAACAAAATCGGAATTGAGAGGAACAGAAACTGATATTCACTGGATGGTCATATACCTTTTCACCGCTAGATGGGGGTAAAAATCACACAGTGTAGCTTTAAAATAGCAACAAAAAACTTTGAGATACACTCTTGGTCAAAAGTTAGGGGTTGGTAATATTTATTTTTTTAAAGAAATCTCTTCTGCTCACCAAGGCTGCATTTATTTGATAAAAAATACAGTAAACCAAAACACTAATATTCTGAAATATTATTATAATTCAAAAGAACTGTTTTCTATTTAAATATCTATTCAAATATAATTTATTCCTGCGATGTAAAAATCTGAATTTCAGCATCATTACTCCAGTCTTCAGTGTCACATGATCCTTCAGAAATCATTCTAATCCACAAACATTTCCTATTTCCTATTATTATATTTTTGTGAAAACTGGGACATTTATTCAGGCTTCTTTGATAATTATTTTTTTAAGCATTTAGAAAGCTTTCATCATAAATGTCTTTGAATAAAACTATTCCCAGACAGCAACACATGTGGATTCCACACATACCAGAAGTGGGCCGAATCTGGACCGACACTATGTTGCTGTCTGGGTTCATAACTTTTGAATAAAAAGACTTATAAAAAAAAAAAAAAAATCATACTGACACAAAACTTTTCAGCAGTAATGTATATTTTACAAAAAGTCTTAATTTTTCAGTATTATCTCACACAGTTTAGCTTTTCTAGTAAATCTTGTTAATATTTAGGAGGTTTCGATATGGACAAAACTGATGAAGAAGATTTCTTTCCCCCAGTAATAAGGGTCCTTGTAAATTCCTAAAAGGATCTAGTATTCTTCAGAATACATTTGCTGTAAACAATGAATCCAGCTTGTAAGTTTTGATTGGCCACAGGAAACCGGTTAAACACAGGCTAACCCAGATTGCTCATATTCCTTCCCTCACACCAACCCTGACCTGACAGTCCTTAAACAGCGCAGTCTACAGACCTTTGACCTGACAGTTAGACACGGCATTCCTCGCCAGCGATAGAGAGAGGGGAGGGAGAGTATAGGCTCTCTCTCTCTCTCTAGCCACAATTTATCAGACTGCAGCCATCATTCCACTCACTTCCTATGCCAGAACACACTCTTTATTGACAGACAAAGGTCAGACCAAAGAGGTTCGAAATGTATGCGAATGAGTCCTGGATTTTAGGGGTCAAATGTCAAGGTCTGATCCCTTGATAGCGAGGGGGGCGTTACCTCTACGGCGGTGGGATGACTGTGTCCGTTCTCCAGCTGAGGAACCCCTGGCACGATGATCTCATCCTCTTCTGGTGGTTTCCAAATGTACTGTTCCCCGTTGCCCATGAAGACCGCCTCCTGTTGGACACACGAGGAACACACAGGCTGGTCAGATCCCCTCGAGGGGCTGATGATAACACACTGAATTTTGTCATATGAACGGTGGCCAGTCCATTCTTCCATTTGTGTCCCACAGAAGAAAGAAAGTTCATTATGGCCTGAGATGGCTGAACTGTTCCTTTAATTTCGTACTTATTGGTGTTTGTTTCTACAATGGAAGTGTTCTGTGAGTTAATGATTACAGATATGTAGAGAGTCAATGATTGAAGAGGGAGAGAAACACACCTCCTGTATGAATGATTAATACCAGCAGTAGATGAATGGATACAGTGTTTGCTGCTATTTATTTCCCTGGCTGAAGCCACTACCTGCTCTCTGTGGTTCCTCCCTGATGCCTTTAACAAAAAAAAACACATGGCGGGACGGGCAGCCAGCCAACACATCTTACATAATCATCAGGCCCACTGTACTGGAGTGACACATGTGCTGCACAACTGCACTGGATGATCGCTCTTACGCGAACTTCAATAATATTTACATTAGACGCAGACTCGGAAATAATGCAGGTCGAACAAACACACACCCACCCACGAACACACACACAGCACATATTATTTAACATTGCTTGAACATTAAGTAAGCCTATGTCAGATTTAGAAAAACAGGTACGCTCCAAATACTGTACAATACCATGCCTGTGTAAACAAGCCGTCAATCAACAAACTTGTGACAAAGAAGATTGTAATCTCTATGTGGCAAACTAATGGCACTCACAAACACACACACACACAAATAGAGACAAGTAGAGCGGTGCCGAGTTAACAGGAAGACAGGATCATTATCCGATCATTGTCTGAGTGTTTTCCATCTTCACACATGCTGTTCTGCTCTCTGCAAATCGCATCTGTCCTTGAAAGCCACGCACGACATAAACAGGTATCAGCTGACAGACCAACACGAAAAACAACTGACTGAGTCTCTTTAATTTTATGTCAACTTGCTTTACACTTTTAAATTATGGGAAACACTTGCTAATGTTCGTTTCTTGAACCTGTTTTAATCTAAGACATTTAACATCTAACAGTTTGAAAAAAAAAGTACCCTATAAAAGTCATGAAGATTTTAGCTAATGTCAGTTTGGTGAATGTATGATATTTTTGTATGAAACAGCAGTATCTAGTGGTCAACACATATAACTGCACTACTAGGCTCTGCATTCAAGGGCTTGCCACTTACATCTGTGCAAATGGCAGACAATTATAACCAAAGCCACTTTATCATGTCTATTGCCTGGAAATAGAATGCATGGCCTTGGCGTTCAACATTAGAAAGACTTAGGCCTACATTTATGAAGAGAATGAGAGTAGGCTGCCTTAAAGAGTAACTAAACCCTAAACCAACTTTTTTTAGTTAATGATCTGTAAGAATGGATCTTTATTAATACCGGTCATTGATTCGATTAACTTTTTTGACATTTGTGTATAAAGTGTTTTATTTCTACAACATATGGTGTAAAAAACGTCTTAGTGCTGCCCTCTTCAGGTTGAACGGTGGCTACTGCAGTTGAGTTCTCCTATTGGATGTTAGTGGTTCTTCATGACGTAGGCACATTTCAGCTCAACACGCTCTTGGTACGAGCTACGCCCTTGGCAGTATAAAAAAACAGCTTGTTTCGTCAAAACCACTGTAGGGAGTCAGGAATTGGAATTGCGAGTATTGAAAACGTCCCCTCTATCTCCGCTGGGGTCTGCCCACTTTTTCAGCATTTTTCAAATATTGCCAGTGGGTGGAGTCAGGCTCTGACCAGGGGTTTAGTTATGGTACCCTTTAAACATGCTAAGTCGTTAGCGGCATTGCTATACAATTGCAATGTTGTTCTGAGGTGTTTGCTAGTGTATTACGCAGTTGCTAAGTTGCTCTGGGAAGTATGTAGTGATTTATTATGTGGTTGCTGAGGTGTTTTTGGGTGGTTGATAGGTTGTTGCTAACTTAAGCAGCGGTTTTAATGCACTAATATGTGGTTCCTAAGACGTTGCCATGCCGTTTCTAAGTTGTTCTGGAAAGTTTCAAGTGCCTTATTTTGTGGTAGTTGGGAGTGTTTTGGGAGGTTGCTACAGTGTTGCTAGGTAGCCACTAATTTGTTCTAAGGTTTTTTGTCTGCTACTATGTGGTTGCTGGGTTATTCTGGGGTGTGTTTCCCAAAGACAACAATGGTCACAAGTTCTGTCGTTACAAACAGATTTCAATGGAACTTGTGACCTTATGATGCTTTTGGGAAACACAGCCCAGGATTGTTTCTAGGGCATTGCTAAGCAGTTACAAAGTTGTTCTGAGGTTAGTAAGTTATTGGGTTGCAGGAGTTTTCTTGGTGGTTGCTAAGGTGTTGCTATAAGGTTGCTAAGTTGTTTTGAGAGGGGTTTTTGTGCATTACTGTGGTTGCTGAGTTGATCTAGTTGCTTGCTAGGGTGTTCTCGCCCTTTGGGGGTACTAAATATAGCTCCTACTTCAGAGCAGGGTCTACACCAGCACAATGTGACATTAGTGGACTGTACGCTGATTGGCCGAAAGTTTGCGAAACACTGGCAACTGGCATTTTTAAAAATCCTATATATTTACTCCACAAACATGTAAAGCAGAGAAAGATGGCCCGACGCCGAAGTATAGGCACTTCTCAACCTTTACGCTAAGCAGGAAATCCAATGTAACTTTGAAGGGACAACATGACATCATGACTTTTGCGTAAACATACACGCCACTTTCGAGTCAAGTGGCGTGTTATCTCTACGCATTTTGAGCTATCCGCGTGTATCCGCGTGTATGCGTGTATGTCTACGCCATTAACGTCCGAGTGATTCCGTGTGTCTGTACACGCCGTCAAATGTCCGCGCGAAACGAAGCAAAATGTAGATCTACATCTGGGGAGCGATCTTTTTTTTCTGGGATGGTAAGGGAACAGTCATAAATACCATTAACCCCAGTGACGGTTAGGTTTAGGGACGGGGTTGAGGTAAGTCATATATTTATATATACAGTAATAACGTTAAGTCAACAGCGTTCAACGTGCTGATAGCACGCCAAAAATGGAAATACGAATTGCCGTGTCATACACACGCTACTTCATGAGATCAGTCTGGAAGGGACCAAGAAAATCATCTTCTTCTCACCTAGCGACATTGGACATCGGACATTGGACATGGCAAACGCTATAATACTTTTTCGTATACTGTTTACTTTCTTTGTTTAACCGTTCAATCCAATAATGTATTAGATAGGACTGTTAAACAGACCGTAAAGTGATGAAGATGGAGAATGGGAGTGCTGTGTGCTCAGGCTCTGGCTAAGTCGTTCTCAGCACCGTCAAAATAAAAGTCCCGCACAAGACGTAAGTGACGGCTTCCGTCACTTCAAAGTTCCAACTGGCGGTGCAAATGCAACCAGGGAAATGATCGTAGGGGAACATGTGGTTCTCGGAGGACACCCCTGATGGCTAGTATCTATAACTGAGTTCCTATAGGCTAACCAGCTGGTGTGAAAGCCCCTCCATACATGGACCAAGTCCCCCCTCGAAGGTTTCTGTGGGATTTTGCTGCCCATTTTTGGCTATGAACGTGTGTTTTTGACTCATGTGTGACTGATCTGTGTCATCACCTTTGGGAAATTGGGTAGGTGAAATGGTTCCACGGATTTCCTAGGCAAGGTGCTGCTGGAGGACTCGCTGCTGGACACGCTCTGGTGCTCTCTTTCTCCATCCTCCACCACTTCCTCTCTCCTGCCGCGCTCCAGCTTCTTCACCTTCCGTATAGAGGCGTATTCTGCCGTCACCGCCTCTTGACTCGCGCCCCCTCTGCTTCCACCTTGGCCATTCGCACTTGATGTCGGGCTGTGAACTTGCCGCTGAGTGTTGGTTGGTGGCGGGGCAATGGCAGCAGGCGGAGCAGCTTTATCAGCCGCTTTGATTCCAACGCTCTCATACAGGCCGTCATCTGGTGGGAGGGACGTGGGAGAGGTGTGGCGGGAAACTTCGGAGTAGGTGTGATCACGTTCCTCGCTGTCGGGTTTGATGGGAACACGAGGCAGTTGGCGGGCTGGGCTGGGTCGGAGGTCAGAATTGGAGCGGCGGGTATGCAGAAGCAGGAGGTCCATGCTGGCCGGCCGGCTCTTAGGGGCGCCTGTCAATCCAAATAACACAGATTAAGACAAGAGAGATGGGAAAGATTAAAGGATTAAGATTAAAGAAAGTCTGGAGTATTAATATCAGGTACAATAATGAATATGCACATATTACAAAGGGTCATTAGAAATGTCACATTACTCCAGGGAAACACAAGAGGGCAGACCATTACTATTTGATTATCTCGTATTTCCAACACACTCACAAATTGACATGTCTTTAAACCTGCATTGAGTTAAAAACCAACATGAAATTTCACTGGCAACTCTATCTTTGTATCTTCTAAGTATGAATCACATGATTTTACCAAAGCTGAAAATGGTCAAATGTAACATTTACCTTTTTTTGTATTTTCAGTTAGCAAGCTAACAGTTTAGCATACTAGCAATGCATACCACTGCAGATCTTGCATGACATTGGCGTTGAAACTTGGGGTCTTGGTGACATCATCAGAAAAAGGAAAGTCATTTCACAGTTATTTCTAGCATGAAAACTTTAGTTTAGCATGGTAATGGATATGACAATGTATTTGGTCTTGGCGGAACAGATGCTGTTGTTGATAATTGCTGCAAGTGCAGAGATGCGTGCTACAGCCAATACACACATAAACACACTGCTACTTGTTAGCATGTGAGGTATTCTGCGACTGTACAAATAGCGTATATGAATAAACTGTAACTGATCTATACAGGTGGAGCTGGGGGAGGAGGAGGGTTTCAGGAAAACTTTGAAAGTGTGCTGCAAACTGTTAGCAATTTTGTAAATGCTGAACTGCAAGCTCGTTAGCTGCAAATGCAACAGGACCCATCAGCCTGCGCCATCTAGAGTTTTATGACAGAACTTGTTTTTTTTTTTGGGGGGGGGGTTAAGTTGAATAATGCCTGGTTCAGATTACACAATTTTAGCCTGATTTTGGCACGATCCGTTTGACGTAGGGTGTCGTGGGGATTCGTAAACGACAACGGGCGTCGGGACGCAAGATTCGATCGTATCATCTCGTATAGTGTGTCATAGTGGGCGACAACTTACGTCACGTCTGCGATGCTTCACGACATCACGACAAAAAGACTGGCATGTTAATTTTTTTTAACGGTCGCCCACGACGAGTTTCGTCACATGTATGAGGTTGACCAATAGGAGCACAGAAGCTTTTCCGTACACAACTTTCAAAAATGGCAAAACGAAAGAGAGACGATGGTGCTAACGTTAAAACTAAAAGTAAAAATATATAAGAAAACAATATTTTACCTCCTCAAGTTCTCTTTGGAGGGTTGACAGCCCATACTGTCCTCTTCGAGCAATCCAGGAACGTGTCCATTGTCGGGTTTTCTTTCTTTTTTTACTTTTTTTCTGAACACGGACAGCCAATACAACACTCACCGCTTCATCCATTGTTTGTTTACGTTCGTTTCCGGAAGTCACTCACTACTAGTTTCGCCTTCTCGATGACATCACGCACACGTTAACGACGGCTGGTCAGGAGGCAACATGTAGTCTGACATGTGTCTTGTCCACGACACGACAAGATTTTATAGGAGTCAAAATCGTGTAACACAGTGACTATCGTAACAGACAAAAAAAATTATGTAATCTGAACCAGACATAATGTGGACTGACGAATCCAGCATATTGCAACCAGGAGCACAGATTGCGATATTAAATGGGGTCAGTCTTGATTTCGTGTTGAACTTGGGACTTTGTTATTCTTCCATGCATATTTGTGTACACTGAATGGAGCTGAGTATCCATTGGTCTGGATGTAAAAGATCAGAAGCTGATGTATATAAGGCTTTGAGGCGTGTGTGTTCTCTGTCTATAGTTTGACAACTGTCTCTCTCAGCCTCGCACATCACATGTTTGTGGCAGTGGGAAGTGGGAACATGAACTAGTAAACATATTACCACAACAAGCCTCTGGAGACATCAGCCATTGCACGCATATACCAGTTCATAAGGTATATGCGTGTGTGGGGAATGAGTCTGTGTGTACAAGTGTCATAAAGAGCAGTGAATTCTCTCACCGTTGGCGTTGCAGGGCAGCCTGTGCATGTCATGCAGGCGGGTGTCAGATTTACTCATTGAGTTCAGCTTGGACTGGCGCAGCGCTGCCTGTGATACAAAACATTATCATGTATATGTATGCACATCCATGTCCATAATTACACTGTGTAAATATGTGTGTGTGTGTGTTCATTTATACTTATTTGCACTCACTGTTTCCAATTTCTGACCCCCTCCGTTGGCTTGGCCATGTTTGCTCTTGCTTTTTCTGCAGACAAAATGAGACACACTCTTTGTGAGGACAACATAAGATACAACATGCATGCAAAGAAAGTTTTTAATGATTGGAACATGCTATGAGTATATCGCAATACTAGCTCTGTTCCCAAATCGAGTGAGATGCCAACCCAGTTAGTATTTTAAGGCACCTCCTGTGACCTCCAGAGTGAAATAAGCTTTGCGGCGCCAAGCGCGACACAAAAGGTGTTTTCTGCTAGTTTCAAACACAGTAAAAGAAATGGACACAGCGACCCCATTGATTTAAACGGAGAAGTCTGAAGCCCCATATTGCACTTCCTATCTGATGTCTGAGTGACTGCGCAGGCTCAAACTGAGTGTGACGACAGTCTGACAGTTGTAAATCTTCTAGTAGCTGTGCCAAGACAAATCTGAATCACCTAAATCCTCAAAAATGTTGAAATATTTTGTCCCGTTGCTTTTATGGACTCTCTATTTATGGGCTTCTACCTTGACTTTGTGCCCCCATGTCCACCCGATTGCCTCATAGACAGTAAAAGATTGCCCGCGAGCTTCTCCTCCTGTCTATACGGTAATGTCTCTATTGTACGACAGAAAGTCCCGTGGTTATGACACAATCTTTAGCCTATTTTTACAAAAACGGCTTCTACAGGGCCTTAACGTAAGATACAAAGTAATGCATTTTATACATTGTCGTGTTTCTTTAGAAATAAATAATGGACAAATTAAGTCTTTGGACACCTCAGATGTAAAGTTATTCGCCCTCAAAGTGACGCAAAAATGAATGGGAGTCAATGAGATGCTAACAGCAGGTGAAGTTCTGCTACAATTCAACTTCCGGCCGATGGATTACCCCCTTGGTTTCAAACCGTCGCAGTTATAATTTTTACGTCCTGCGCCACGTTGTTTAAATAGCAAATGCGGAAACGAGGAGTGTTCAGGCACATTGTTGGAGCGTTGTTGTTTTGAGGCAACTGAAATAGACTGCACCATTGACCAATGAAACCTGGTCTAAAGTCAATGGCGCAATATTTCTTTTTGTTATTTAAAGAGCGTGTTAGTAATATAGGCGGGTACACAACGCACGTACACTTTGTCCCAAAGATGGTCTGCTTGCATGCTTTAACCTTGCTTTAAAGGAGCAGATCCAATTCCTAGCCAGAGAAGAGATCCGTTTTTCCACTTGCAAATTCTGTCATTTGTGCGTGAGCGCAACTGGCTTTTAAAGGGAAAGAGAGATGAGACTCTGATTGGATTATTGCTCGTTACGCCCAAAACAACCCTTTTAGATCATGCACCGGGTACACTGACCATTTTTCCCATCATTAAACTAGCAAAAGTGGATTCGGACATGCCCTAAGTTCACTTGCGTTGTGCGTTTTAGACCATGCGCTCAAATCGTTATAATAGATGTACCTCATTTTGTAGCACATCCAAGATGGAGGGCAAATCAAGAGCGAAAAATGCGGTGTGGCGTGAAATTGAAACTTTTTCCAGGCTTAGTTCCATTAATGTTTACTATAAACATTTTTTTTTTAAACTTTAATAGTTGAATAATAGAAAATAATGAAACATTCAGAAATAACGTTTTCATAACTGAATAACGTTAGCAAAACATTCTTAAATGTAATTTTTGCTAGCTAGGCAAACGTTGTTGGTCTGGAAAGTGATGTACATGGTGATTGGTTGCATTGGCCTCTAGAAAGCTGCTTCTTTAGTAGACTACAGACATGCAGCTCGCTGGCTTTTGTAACAGAGCTATTGTGCACTCTTGAATATGCCAGGAAGTAAAATTCCACTACAGCGAGTGTTTGTAATGGCTCTCTGTGGGGTTGGCAGAGCTGGGATGATGTAATCGTGAGGGACTTAGATGTGATGCAGCAGGTGTGGTGGAGGAAGAGAGAGCGAGAGGATGGATAGGTAACCCTGACGATCCCTCCTCCCTTGCCTTTCTTCTCCTCTCATTCCCTACACACGCCAGGTGTGACATCAATTATAGCTTCTCTCACTCCACCAATCCAACAGCCTGCGAAATACACATTTTTTTCACACACCTTTCGGTTCTTCTCACTCTCACCCCATTTTTAACATCCACTGCTATGCACATCCCTCACACTTACGGGAATCTGTGAAACAGAGGATTTTCTCTCCTCTCACTGTTTTACACCCTTAAACTATGGGTAGGAAGAAGGCGTTTATGGATGAATAGATAAGACATTATAAAAGTAAAATAGCATAATGCATATGCCATAAGTCACAGCCGTAATGACAGTGTTTGCTGTTTGTTTGCAGTTGCGAGGGCTGTATCGCTCCATTCCCCTGTGAAGGTCAGAACTCAGGAGCCCGGAGGGACACGTCGTTTGCACCTCGGTTTTAGAGACCCTGTGTCTACACACACATCACTTGCAGAATGTACACACTGCAAAGCCGCACGCAGCAAAATCACAGCTGCACTCTGCGTTTGCAATCATGAATACCGCATTAGCATTGCCATGTTTTAAAGGAGCATTCCAGGTTCTGTACAAGTTAAAGGATAATTCCGGTATTTAACACCTTGAGTCTATTTTATAGTTTGTTTTGAATGAAATAGAGTGGTGGACTTAGAAATTTTGACAATGGATCCTGTCTCGACTTTTTTGACTTTTTTAGAATCGCCTGTGACAGCGTAAGACTGGCTGTCTATGGGCATGCACAAACATGTCCTTAAAACAACCCTTAACATAGACACCCAGTCTAAAGCTGTCACAGGCGATTCTGAAAAAGTCAAAAAGTCGAGACAGGACCCATAGACTGCACCATTGACCCATTGTAAAAAAGTCCACCACTCATTCAAAACAAACTACAAAATAGACTCAAGGTGTTAAATACCGGAATTATCCTTTAATCTCAATTTAAAGGCACAATGTAGATTTTCACAAAATTACAGTAGTTTTGTAGCCTGGATGCCAGCCCGAACTCCGCCCACAACATTTTTTGGACGGGAAGTTCAGTCTGGACTCGATCCATTGAGGAGTAATTATGATCGGTTCAGAAATCATCTGGCCAATCAAATTGCCAGGGCGGGCTTTATACGATGATTGACGTAACGTAATCCTCACGTCATCACGCTTTTCAAAGATGACTGCAGCTGGAGAATTGAGATGTACAGATTCCGCTGTCGCATCTTTTGTAAAAAGAAAACTGACAGCGCATTCATTTTAATAGACAAACAGAGAACTGCAATCAAGGCATTTGTCGATCGGAAAGATATTTTTGGCGTCCTTCCTACATGATTCGGGAAAAGTGTAACTTATCAGCTGGCTCTGACAGTCGTTAAGAAGATGGGACGTAATGAAAAGCCTGTGGTCGTTGTGGTTTCTCCTTTGGTGGCACTCATGGAGAAGTAAATAAAAGAAGTAAGACTCGTTATTTAACTTCTAAAATAAATAAAGTAGGCTACGTTCTGTATTTGAAAAATGCGTTATGCAAAGGAGTTGAGTTATGCGTTGCTCTGATTGGTTGGAAGGTCTACCGACTATCCAATTGAGTGCAGAGGGTTTTTTTTTTGTCCTGGTTCGGTTACGACACGCCTCATAATCAAAGCCCAATGGAAGAGTTTCAGACTCATATTCTTTCTTGAATATGAGTATGACGAAGTCAGGCTAGTAGTTTTGAGTCAACACGAAAAAGTGAAAAAGAAAAATAATCGAAGCACCTACAATCAGGCTATGTTTACACGGAAACGATCTGAAGACAAATCACAAAAGTGGCGTTGCGTTATCCCTTTTTATTATGCGTTTAGACAAGCGTTATGGGTGGGAAATCTGCGTGCATACGGTGACGCAAAAGTGTGTGAAATTCAATGTAGTATGCACTCCAGGTGGTTAGGTGGCAATGTGGAGCACTGCCACACAACAACACCAAGTCCGCGCGCCTGCGTACAACCTTCACTGTCAAGCAGACTTTTGCGTTTTTACCCTTTACACGGGAACACGATGGTGGAGCGTTTTTAAGATTTCCACTCTGGAGGGTGATTTCACTTTTTTGCGTTTTTAAGCTCCAAAAACGCTGTCGCCGTGTAAACGAAAGGCACATCCGATAAAATATTTTTACGTTTTCACCCGCGAGCGTTCTCGTGTAAACAGGGCCTCAGTGTTGGGGAAAGGTCCTTGTAAAAGTAATGTGTTCTCCCTAAAAAAGTAACTAATTGCATTACTTAGTTTTACGGAAGGTAATGTGTTACGTTACTTTTGCTTTACTTTTCATCACCTGCATGGGCTTGTTTGGTTGTTTTTTAATAAAAGAATGAAATGCAAATTCACGTCTGTACAGTAGAGGACGCAGCTCAAACAAATATAGGACAAGAAGAGTAACTACAGGAGAAGGAAGTTCAACTCTATTACTTCAGCAATAAAAACAAAAACATTAAACACAAAAGTGATGGTATAACGATAGTCATTATGGAAAGTATAAATAAATTGGTTGAATTGGATCATTGAAGGTTAGCAGCAAAGATATTGGTTAATTAAGTGAGATAAAGTATATTTGTATTAGCAAATTTTATTATGCCACATTGAATAGATAATGATGAATTTACCGTATATAAAAGTGCCTAGTCCAAATGTCTGGTGCAGTCAAGTCTTCAGAAGAAGTGTTGTTTTAGTATCTTTTATACTATTATATTATCTATTAATATATTGAATTAGCTTTTATTTTATATTTTCAGTTTTCACTTTCGTTTCAGTAAATGTGCCAGATGTTTTGAATCTCACATATGATATGAACTGAATTACAACCTTTATTTCATTTTTATTTTAGTTTTAGGTTTAGTAATTTTAGTACTTCAACTTATTTCCTTAAGTTTCCAGGGCAACATGCTTATTCTTCTCAAAGCTTTTTTTTTAAGTTAATCTAATATTTATATTTTATTTTAATTTAGATTTATTTACCAGAAATTATTTTTAACAGTTAACAATAAAAAAACACTGTTCTGATGTCATATGATGTGAACAAATCATATTTACATATTTATTTGCTAAATTTAAATAATTTCTTGATAATAAATAATCTTCCCCTGCATTTCCAACCTGGAATTGGATAAAAAACATGCAAGAATGAATAGCGTCTTTGACATCAAACCTGGCGAGATTATATTTAAGAGCTGCAGAATGTAGTGTATGAGTAGTATATTTTATATTTTATGATGACCACTCTTTCATTGTGTAGAAAAGAGCAGCTTGAACATTATTCAAAATATCTCCTTTTGTGTTCCACAGAAGAAAGTCATATAGTTTTGAACAACATGAGGGTGAGTAAATGAGGACAAGTTTTTTAGGTGAACTATCCCTTTAACTCTGCAATGGTAATGAGATCAATTCTGAGAAAGGCGTTTTTGCTCAATCGTAATTTGTGTATCTCAGAACAACGAGCTCAGTGTGTGTTTTCCATTGTGCATCTGATGACTTTGCTGCAATGGCAGCACAAATTTCCAGCCGTATTTAGCGCACCTCTATATTTCCCGTTGGAATGACACTAAAACAAACACACTCGGCTTCTGTAGAGTTAGCTTGTATTCCCATGCTCTAACAATTCAGAGCAAGTTGTTTTGCAGTAAAGCAAAAACATGACTTTGTGGTGAAAATGCAACAAAAGAGTCTAGTCCCCATTCTTCATTTCTGTGAAACGTTATGCAAAACAGAAATAGAACAGAGCCTGAGAGTCTGTGAAACTGATTTGTCGGAGGGTTTCGTTCCTTGTGATATCTCGCAGCAAAAGTCTTTGTCACAAACGAGCATCCGACGCAGAGCTTAACTTCCCAGCGAAACGGCTCCTACAGAGGGCACGCAATCTGCTGAAGGAGTGATATTAGCATTCATCAAGTCGCTCCACAGCAGGAAAGGAGAGATAGAGACAGTAAGAGAGATAGAACTAAAGAGAAAGAGGAGGATGTGCCCTGACACAAGAGTGGGGGAGAGTTTTTAAGAAGCCGACGCATTCGTTTGACACATGAGTGGGGTGCGTCTGTGCAGAAACACTTTTAAGTGCAAACGAACAAACAGCTCAGGATGGGAATGTTAAGGATCCTGGTTTGGTTTCTGATCGCTCTTAACAATCCCAGTTCCTTAACGATTCTTCAATTAATGGTTCTTTTAGAGGAAGAACATGTGGAAATAAGAAATTCACTTCTTATTGCTCCTACTCAGCTGTTGCCACATGAAGAGATAACAGAAAAAATAACAAATCCGACTTAAAGTCTTGCGTAAGGTGCGTTTACACATCATTTGGACGCAGCCCTGATTGAAGCATAATCGTAGAATGTCATTTCGAATGAAATCAGGCCAAAGTTTGTTTTGGAAGTTCGAAACAACCTGCTAAAGCAAACTTTAAACTGGTAAACATCTTTGAATTGCCATTGGTCCGTGGCGATGTGTACTATGTAATTTACACTGAAGTCTCACAGCAGACACGCCCCTTCAAACAGAACTAATGCTTTTTATTTATAAATTCATGCTAACATTATAAGTGCACCCTTATAAAACAATAAAACAATGCAGTTCATGACCCCTTTACAATATGGAATATGATAAACGACTGGTTCTCTATAGGTAAAAGGTGTTTGCAGTGTGTGTGAGCATTTCCTCACCTCTGACACCCTACACACACCAAGACGATAAGGATGGTGACCACGAAGGCAGAGGCCGCTGCGATGGCCCCCAGTATCAGCACCTTGGGGAGATCTGAAAACATTCCACTGAGCTTCACACACACACACACAGGTCCTGCCGTACGGCTCGTCCAGGGCACCTGCAGACAGAGAGAGATAACAGAAAAAAAAAGACTTTTAAACAGGGTCAAGGCATGTGAAGATGTTTCATATCAATATTTTATAGTAAAGCAAGAAACATATTTTTTGACATCTTGCCGATGGACTGGCAACTCATTGCCTGATAAAGGTGACCCACATAATGTGAAACTGTTAAAGTGCCCCTATTATGCTATTTTAAAGGTTCCTACATTTTTTTAAGGTTTCCAACAACAAGTTTACTAGGTCAAAACACTTTAATTTTCTCATAAAATGCACTGCAGCATCACCTCTTTTCTCACAGTGTCTGAAACAGTTTATTCAATGTCCTCTCCTTTCTGAGAGCTTACTCTACTCTGATTGGTCAGATGGCCCAGTCTGTTGTGATTGGTCTACTCTACTCTGATTGGTCAGATGGCCCAGTCTGTTGTGATTGGTCTACTCTACTCTGATTGGTCAGATGGCCCAGTCTGTTGTGATTGGCCTACTCGGCTCTGATTGGTCAGATGGCCCAGTCTGTTGTGATTGGTCTACTCGGCTCTGATTGGTCAGATGGCCCAGTCTGTTGTGATTGGCCTACTCTACTCTGATTGGTCAGATGGCCCAGTCTGTTGTGATTGGTCTACTCTGCTCTGATTGGTCAGATGACCCAGTCTGTTGTGATTGGTCTACTCAGCTCTTATTGGTCAGATGGCCCAGTCTGTTGTGATTGGTCTACTCTGCTCTAATTGGTCAGGTGGTCCAGTCTGTTGTGATTGGTCTACTCTGCTCTAATTGGTCAGGTGGCCCAGTCTGTTGTGATTGGTCTACTCTGCTCTGATTGGTCAGATGACCCAGTCTGTTGTGATTGGTCTACTCTGCTCTAATTGGTCAGGTGGCCCAGTCTGTTGTGATTGGTCTACTCTACTCTGATTGGTCAGATGGCCCAGTCTGTTGTGATTGGTCTACTCTGCTCTAATTGGTCAGGTGGCCCAGTCTGTTGTGATTGGTCTACTCTACTCTGATTGGTCAGATGGCCCAGTCTGTTGTGATTGGCCTACTCTACTCTGATTGGTCAGATGACCCAGTCTGTTGTGATTGGTCTACTCAGCTCTTATTGGTCAGATGGCCCAGTCTGTTGTGATTGGTCTACTCTACTCTGATTGGTCAGATGGCCCAGTCTGTTGTGATTGGCCTACTCTACTCTGATTGGTCAGATGACCCAGTCTGTTGTGATTGGTCTACTCAGCTCTTATTGGTCAGATGGCCCAGTCTGTTGTGTCACAAACAGCCATATTACACACTACATGAAAGGTAATATATACAAAGAAGCATAATAGATGCACTTTAAATGACAATTTACATTAATAAACATTAGTTTAAACATTAGTAAACAACAAGTAAACATTTAACATGTAAACAGGGTTATTGTGTGTAAATGCTGTTTTTGTAGCTTTGGAAGATTATGGTTTGGAGCAAGTATTAATTATTCAGTGGTTTTATTTATGTATATTTTACCCCATGCAGCTCACATGCTCCTACTATGACCAAAATACTCTACCTAAAGCAAGAAGAAAACTGAAAAACTTTACTTTTTTTCCATTCAGCAACTTTCTGACTCAAATTAAAGTTTTTTTTTTTTTTTAAGTAGCCTATCTCTGCCAGTTAAACGCTGGCTAAATGTGTTTCGCATCACTTGCACTCCTCCGTATTGCTTGGATACATCAGTGACAGACATGGCTGCAGTTTAATCTGTCTCTGTGTACAGTAATGTCAGGGATTAAATCTGAAGTTTAATATTAGTTGCTGAGGCATACAGGCAAAGCTAAGCTAACCATTGCAAAGCTTTAACGTCTCAGTCGTCATGAAGATAAATACATAAAGTCACTCTGTAATACATGATGCTCTCGCCCAGCTTCCTGTGATGATTTAATGCAACATGAGTAAAGAGAGTTCACTTACTAAATACTATGTTTTTTTGAATGCGTAGTAGCTACTATGGTATGGTATTCATGAAGTACCATGTAAATACCATAGTACATGAACATTCAGTTATGTGGTTTCTATTTAGTGTGATATTATCAGATGCAACAAGCTTTGATAGCAACAATCAGTTTGACAAAATCACAGTGAATCTATGTCGTTAAAAAGTTTGGGGCTAGTTGAAAGAAATGAACACTTTTATTCAGCAAGGACACATTAAATTGATAAAAAGTGAAAGTAAAGACATTTATAATGTTACAAAAGATTTCTATTTCAAATAAGTGCTGATGTTTTTAGTCTCTCAATTTAGTCTCTCTCAAAAAAAAAATCAAGATGATGAACTGCTAGAATCTTTTCACTATTATTCTATCAAACAGCACGTGTTCAAATCCATCATCGTGTCTGTTGTTGAGCGCATACATCAGCACTAAAGAGAGCAGTGATGATGTTCGGAGTGAAGCGAGCTGGACTCATTCCTCTCCTTTACACATGGGATCAAATATCAATTTTTCAAGATGGCCTGAGCTTTCCCCTCTGAACACACACACACACACAAAACAACACATATGCAGCCAGAGGAGAAATGTGGCCAAAGCTTAGGATTAAACTGAAAAAAGAGAGAGATATGATATGACAAAAGGCCGACTAAGGAAAGCAGGTCATGGAAACCCAAAAGCCACCATTTTTTTGATGGTGGGTGTGAATTGCGTGCCTGGTTTATAAAAGAAGCCTCGGTGTGAGATAAACGCTGTTCTCAAAGATATTATTGCATCCTTCTGCCATCCCAAAAAATCATCCCTCCCTCCCTCTCTCCTCCGTCTGATGCTGTTGTCAGCACATTTCCTAGATATTCCGCCGGATCCAGAGAGCGGCTGAGAACATCTGCAGCCAAACGACGAAAGGAAAGAAAGCGGGGAGAGTAGGCTACTGAAATAAACGGAGGCGTAGAAACCCGACAGATAGAATTAGGCTTCGGACGAGTCTTTAAACAGGGCAAGTATTTAGAGGAGTGTGATGTTTAGTGCTTCCCCATGGGAAGGTTTCTCTAGCAACAATTCATACGTCTCTGTTGTTCCCACCTCTCACCATGGCAGCGCTGATGAACGCACATATACATGCACACACACTTTAATCTAAGCGCGTTAGCAGAGCATTTCTCTGCACAGAGGAAATGGCAAGTGTGCAATGAGTCGCAATGCAATGTGCATTACCACAGAAAAAAAAGCTTCTTTATGCTTCAACCTGCACTTTCAGCAGCTTAAATGCGTCATTTAAAGACAAAAGGGGTTGACCTATGAAGAATGACTCTATTTAGATGGAAATCAAATACAATATTTCTCAATGACAAAAGTCTCATTATAGCAGGCTCCCAGGCTCATTGGAAAAGCATGCTTGTGGCGATTTTTCAGCAAAACGATATTACGTTGCTTCAACGCTTTCAAATTGTAATGTCCAGCGAGTGGCGCTAAAAGCATGTTCAGTTTTATTCGAAAGAGATGGATGTGAAGTTGTTGTGCGTATTGCAATTTGGTGAGTGTGGTGCTAAAAGGTTCATGCAAAAGCAAATGTGAGATAAAAACGTGTTTTCTGGTGCAACCATGCCGTCAGCTTGATTCTACGGGTCTTTGTGCTCTTTTATCGTCTCGCACACTATCGCTCTCCATCTCAAGGACAGTTCTGTACCAGATGAGCTACTGAGCAAGTTTATGACGACAGAAAAGACTCACATATTGAGCTGGTTATGTCATGCAAATGTCAAAATATATTAGTATACAATCAAGCACTATGGTCAAAACTCATATTGTGGAAGGAATGACTCAAAAATAATCGCTAACACTTTAAAATACGGGTGCACTAAGCTTAACTAATGCACAGATAATCCTGAATTAATGTGTAACTAATTATTTAAGCTATCCATTAATGATTACCACATTAGGAACTAATTAAGAGTCTGTAGGGTTAATGTATTAGTTCATACATGACTTGTTATTAATTAAATATGTAAGTGTGGATCAATTCAATAATAACTCATTTTTTTAACTTATAGTGTTTATTAATATGTTAATTAGCAGAATGAGCTAAAGCCTTGTATTTCAACTTCCAGATAATAAGACAGGTACACTAATATGCATTAATACATGATTAATTACTTCATTGTTAGTGCAAATTCATGTGCAAATTACTACAATTACTAAATGACCAGTTAATAATGATGTGCCCCAACAAGTAAAGTCATAACATAATGATACCTTTGCAAATCATTAGCTAATGATTAATTAAAGCAGACAACTGGAAGTTGAAGTGCATAGCTTTGACTAATTGTGGTAATTAACAATGATGTGCCCCAACAAGTAAAGTCATAACATAATGATACCTTTGCAAATCATTAGCTAATGATTAATTAAAGCAGACAACTGGAAGTTGAAGTGCATAGCTTTGACTAATTGTGGTAATTAACACATTAATTATTTAATAAAATATGTTATTAAGGAATTAATACACAATGACACATTGAATTAATAGCAATTCATGTATTACTTAATCTATTAATCATATTGACTCTTTATTAGTTGCTGATGCAGTAATCATTAATTAATGGTTTAGTTCTTCAAGAGTTATGATTATCTGTGCATTAGTTAAGGATGAATTAATGCATATTAGTTCACCCGTATTGTAACGTGTTACCAAATAATCAATAATTTGTGAAAAGGAATAAAAGTTTTACTGCCTCTAGTGTTTATTTCAGCTGGAAACTGCAGTGAATTGTATGTACGGGTATGTTTGGAGTTTTGCAAAAATGTAGTTAGTCCTTGAATGCAATCTAAATCCCATCATACAAATATGCGCACACATACTCATTGTAATCAAATTTTGCAGCAGACGAGCTGTTCCCTCCCTGCCCAAACCTGTCCTCCCATCATCCTCTAATGGCCCGCCCCGTTGAACGACCCAAAGCTTCTTTCAACTCTCACCACAGGATTACAGACCTGCCACAATTTGCTTAATTGTGGCCAGGAATTCACAAGCTGAATGTGATGAG